GCCAACGGCCAGCGATGGCCCCGAACAGAGACGGCCGGGCCCACAGCGGCGTTTCGCGTGACACTGGTCAGCGTGGAAGCTCCTCACGCCCCCAGTGAAGCAGTTGCTGTTTACGGCCAGCCGGTGAACTTACACATTTCTTGTTACGGAAATTGCATAAAAATACAGACACCCTGGTCAGAGAAAATCGCTATGTCCTGTTCTGAGAAGGAAGCTGCAGGGGCCTGACCCATCGTGAATGTTGTTTCAGGCACTTGAACGTTACCCAGCGAGCGGGTATTAAACGATCTCATTAAAAATGGCCACAAACGGTGGTCCCTTGGCGCGGCGAGGGCTGTGTTGTAAGTGACCTAACTGTGGTCGCCTCGCAACGCGAGTTTGTCAAACCCTCACCCCCCAGGCCCTCGTCGGACGCGATGTGATGCGTCGGTCGCGCCCATCGAGCCGGGAGAAGGCGCGTTCGACCCCCCGTGTGCCCGTCTTACCCAAGCAGGCGGGCGGGGGCGACCACTGTCCGTCCGCGCAGTGGGACGTCTTTGCCCCCTGCAGGATGTAATACTCGTGGCACCTGTACTCCACCGAGGACCCCGCCGGGTAGCTGGCCGAGGGCCCGTCAACGACGGCCCCGTTCGCTATGTCAGGCGGACGCTTACAGGTCTCGGTGTTTTCTAGGGGGGGAAAAAAAACATTATTTTTTAAATTAATATGAAGTTATAACCACATAATGATATAAGACAGGTCCCCACGCAGCGGTGCCTCGGTATCCGCGCCACGCGACTTAGTCGGTTTCTAAATTCACCAGAAACGAGAAACGTTCTTCGGCTCCGATATCTTTAAAACTGAGCAAGACGAGAACAGCGGAGGTTTTACCCTCGATCGGACACGAACCTTTTTCGCTTTTCTTGCGTGGGGACGAACCGTGGTGGAGAAACCCCTAAAACGTACAGTGACCTTGACCCTGAGGACCACGGTCAAGGCGAAACCTGCCCCCGGTCGCCACCCGCTTCGGCCCATCCCCTCCGGCGTCCCTCCGTCTCCGATGGCGCTCAGCCCAGGGGTGGGAATTCCCACCTTCCCCTCTCTTTGGAGTCTTCCTCGGACCCTGCTCATTTCTCTCCCACCTCTCGTAGCTTTCCTTTTAAGCAGTAAACATCCTCGCTAGGCCCGCTCGGGGAGATCCCTCCAGGACCTGGTCGGGAAGCAGAAGGTCTCGGGAAGGGGGGCCCGGGGGCACCAGGGGGCACCGCCTGGTCGTGCCCTCGGGCGCGTCTGGGGGTGGAGGGCCCAGGAGGGCGGGCGCCAGGGCAGCGTGGGCAGGGCCACCCGAGCCAGGGCCACAGAGCTGTCCTAACGCCGTGGGACACGAGGACCTTGGCCAGGCGCTCGGTCCCGCTGGGCCCTGTGTCCCTCCTCTAATGAAACAGCGTCGCTTACCCGCTGTCACTTAAAGCTCGCGGGTCGTGGCGTCAGCGTGAGACGGGAGCCGCAGCCCTAACGCACATTCCAAGCTGCTTTTTTTAAGTTTCCCTGTTTCCTACACTGGCTCCCCGGGCTCACAGAACCCCAGGGGCCTCACCCGTCCAGGCGACGGCCTCCCGCTATTAGGGGTGAACGAAATCGAGCGGAATCGGCTCCCCTACCGACACACTCGGGGGCGGGGGTCCATCTCCCCCGGCGGCAGGTGACCTCCCTCGGCCCACGGAGGCGGTAGCCGCTCCCGCAGCCATAGCTCACGCTGTCCCCGCTGCGGTAGGTCTTCGAGGTCAGGGCCGGGGCGCCGTTGGCCACCAGGGGCGGGTCCCCGCAGGCCGCCGCCTCCCTTTCTTCTGCAAAGGCAGGGTTTTGAGAGGAGAGACCGCTGAGCCCCACGGGCCGGCTGCGCGGGAGGGGCCGCCCGGGAGGCCGTGCTGACCGGTGCACGTCGGGGGCTCCGTCCACCTTCCGTCGCCGCAGCGGATCTCCTCCGGTCCCTGCCTCTCGAAGCCCAGCTCGCACTCGATGCGAACCACTTCTCCGTGACGGTAGGTTGTCCCGGGGGCCTGAACCTTGGAGTTTGGGGGCAGGGGTGGAGGGGGACATCGGCTCCTCCTTCCTTTGGGAAAACAGCGGCAGGTTAGGTCACGTGGTGACAAAGGACAGGGCTTGGGATTCAGCAGGCACGTTCGTTGGGCCAAGGACCCTAAGAAGTATGTGGCCGGCAGGCTCTAGGGTCACCCCCTGGTCCCCGCCTTCCCACGTTCAACCCCTTGTGTCCTACTCGTCCCCACGAGCGGGAAGGGCGATTGCTTGTAACCGAGAGGATACAGCAGAGACGGGGGGGATGGGGGCGGCCGCGGACAGGAGGCTTGCACCCCAACGGTACAAGGTCGACTCTGTCTCCCGGCTGGTTCTGTGAAAAGCCAGCTGCCCCCATCGAGGGCGTCGAGAAGGCAGGGGGCAGAGGGGGGGCCGCCCCCAGGAGCAGCGGGAGGAGATGGAGGCCCTCCCCTGGGCAGCTGGGAGCCCCAGATGCCGCCGGCAGCCCCATGAATTTGGAAGCCCGTCCTTGCCAGTCCGGCCTTGGCCACAGCCTTGCTGGAGGGAAGGCACAGGGGCCAGTGAAGCTGAGCCCGGGTCCTGAGCCACAGAAGCTGACCGATAACACAAGGGTGTCCTGCAAGCTGCTCGGTTTGTGATCGGATGGCCTGGGGCCAGCACAGCCCTGAAAGAGCCAGCGTTTCACCCCCGTGGTCTCCTCTAACCCTAAAACAGCCTTGAGTGGGGCCTGTCGCATCTCCCACATCACCAAGAAGCTAAAACTCACGAAGTAAGCAAATTATTAGTCAGTGGAGGGCCCATTCTCAAACCCGGGCCTCTCTGGATTAAAATTGGTTCCTAATGATTCTAAACTACGCAGCGGGAAACTACCACCGTTCAGTGGCTTCGAGTAGCACAGACGTGTTCGTTTAGGCCAAAAGTCCAGGCTCCGTTTCACGGGGCTAAAATCGGGGCGCCGGGAGAGCCGAGTTCCTTCTGACGGCTTTAGGAGACGATGGACGTCTTGGTCTTTCTAGAAGCTTCCGGAGGTTCGGGACCCGTCCTCCTGTCCCTCCACACTCCTGATTCATTGTCACCTGACGCCCTCTTCTGCTCCCTCCACACGGATATCTTGGGGGGGGGTGGCAGGGCCGGGGGGCATTATCCAGCCCAGGACACCGCCCACCCTGCCCCTCATGACTGTTGACCAGAGAAAATAAAGAGCGTGTTGGGACGCTGACCCATCTGGGTGGCGGCGAGTGCGAAAGGAGGGACAAGTCGTCTGCCGTTTGTTTCTGAAACAGTATACAGCAGCGGGCTCACCGCCTTCCTCTCTACCGTGGCACCAGGCTGCTGAGCAGCACCGGACACCCCGAGGCTCTTTAATTAACTAACCAATTTAACAAAACATCAAAGGTACTGCTGAGCGCCTCTGAAGAATTTCGACGGCTCTGGGCCTGCCCACTGCAGGCCTCTGGTCAGCTCCCCCTTTGGCTCCTCGTGGCACCTCCCCCCAGTGCTCGCCCCGCTCCTCCACGCTCGACTGTCCCCGTCTCTCCCTCGCCTGGGGGCAGTCCTGACCCCGTTTTCCACACTAGAGAGAAAACCGAGGTCATCGAGCCCTGGCCTCTCCTCCCCACCCCTCCCAATCCTCCGACTCCCGTGGAGCTTTTAAGGCCCAATTTGGACACGTAGATACGTGTCCCCAGCGTGGCCGCGCTCCCGTCGGAACCTGCGGTGTCTGTTCAGGTCCTTTAGACCTAACTTGGCTATTCCACTCGTCCCACGGTAGCGATGGCTTTTCCCTCGTTTCCTGTGCTCACTAGCGCCTCCTTCGGGTCAGGTGGCGGCTGTGGCTGACTATGAACTGATTCCACCTGCGACGGAAGCCGCGCCAGGGCTGCTACAGGTGAGGGTCGCTGTCCCCCGGTGCCTCCTTGTCACCCCCACGCTGGGCAGTGCAGCCTGTGGCGGCTTCTGCCTTTACCCCACGGTTTTGAAGAGTGTACTTTCCCATCAGGAAATGTGCGGCCAAGCGAGAAAGTTCCCTCGCAAAGCTGCGAGCTTGGGATAATTGGATCTAGTAATCCCCAATTTTTTAAAAAATATATGTGTTATAATAGGAGATTTAGAATTTATAAGATGAGATTTTTTTAAAGTAAGTTTAAAAGACAGACTCAACCATCTAATAACATCTTAAGATTTCTTTAGATTAACTGTATTAATAGCAGTGATGTAAAAGACTTTTTTAAAATAGCACACGAATTAGAGACCTTTTTCTCATAGATTTAGAGCTGATTAAGACACGATATTTTGGCTGATAACGATGATGGTGCCAGGTGGGTATTGGAAATACCAGGGGGGCCGCCATATAAAATATATGACTGTCTAACCACTGTGCTGTACCTGAAACAATACAACATAGTACTGAATGTAACCTGTAATGAAAAAAACAATTTGAACTTAAAAAAATAAAGCATAGAATTATTTTTATAAAAAAGAGAAAAAGAGACCTGATATTTTATCTGTAGATGTGAAATTTTAAAAATTACCTTCGCATACAGGAGATTCCGGGTACCAGCCGAAGTTGTAACACTGGATTAAGTCAGACCCACTGAGAAAATAATTTTCATGGCAGAAAAACTGAACCACCTCCCCTTCTTCATAGGTTTGCTTCACCGGATAAAAATAACCATTTTCTATTAATCTTAAAGGAGAGCATTTTAATTCTAAAAGTGGGGAAAAAATACAAAGAAGTGTTATTTTTTTCCTGCTAGAACAAAATTCACCTGCCGCTTAACATGCCAGATGTGGAATAGAAATTAGTAGATTTGCCACAGTTTATTAGACAAAAGAAAAGCTTGTCGATTTACGTGTGTATGAAAGATCGTTAGGCTAAGGTTAATTTAATTATCGGAGCTAACAGGGATTTTTTTCCCCATTCGAGATCTTTCAAGGATCAAGCCCTACTGGCAACATAATTAAAACCAGAAGCAAAACAAACAGAAAACCAGAAGTAAAGAAAGAACAGGAAAAGATTGAGCACAATCAGCATCTCGTGATCAGCAGGCCCTTCTGTCTGAGACGACGCTTGTGCGCTGAGAACCCACTGGTGCATTTCGGGGCCAGAGACCACCCGTGGGCGTGACACTCGGCCTCCTCCGTCGTCCCCCCAGTCGCCGTGTAGTAGCCGGGGTCACACCGGTACCCCACTTTCTCCTGCACCCGGAACGTCGTCTGCGTTGTGGAGTAATTCCCGTGGAGTAATGCGGGAGCCACGCATGTGTCTAACGGGAGGGACAGTTACATGTTACGACCTCACCCCGAACCCAGAACAGCCAAAAGCAATCTCCCAGCGAACGCTCCTGAGTCTTAAGAACATATGGCCGGGGTGGAGGGACGCAATGGGGGGAAAATGGGGGACATCTGTAATGCTCTCGACAATAAAAATAAAAATAAAAATAGCATCTGTGGCAGAACCAGCCCTTGGGAAAAATTAAAAAGAGTACATTTGCTCTGCCTCTCAGTCCCCTTTTTTCACACACCTTGTGTCCCGACCCCGCCCATCTCCTGTTCTTAAATTCTGAGTCTAGTATATTTGACCGAAGGCCACCACAGGCTGTGTAGTAACCGCTGTTGGTCATGTCTCATCTGTGGGTTTGTATCATTTAAATAACCAGCAACCCAGAAACAGAGCAGGAGGTGTGTTCAAGTCATTGCATTAGTTTAAGGATATCTGTGCGGGTTTACAATATAAAATAGCGCCCACGGTCTCGCTGTCCCGTCTAGAAAAGGAAATAGTCATTCATGGACGTTGCAAGGCGCAGCTTTATTGAGGATTTTTCCTTTTATCCCGCTTGCATTTTTTATTAGTGGTGTAAAGTGAGAACCCCTGGATTAGGTGTGTTGTGGGCGTTGGGAGCCTTGAGTTAAGGAAACACCCGGCGTCCGAGGAAATCAATATAATGACCCTCTGCCTTTGCAGACGTAACAGAAACTCGATTGTGCTGAATTAAAACGCCCATCGGCGGAGAGAGCGGCGGCCCCGCCGGCTCGCGCCCTCGGCTTGGGGGCGACCGGTGAGCACCTACCCTGTTCCTCCCTGCAGGCCGGCGGCGAGGACCAGCCGTGGGGGAGGCACCGCACCTCCTCCTCGCGCCGCCCCGACGGGGTCCGGAACCCCGAGGCGCAGCCGTAGCGCAGGGCCTCCTGGACGGCGTACAGCACCTTGGAGTCCGAGATGTGCCCGTTGGCCAGGTCGGGCCTGGGGCATTTTTCTGCAGGGGGGGAGAAAATATTTCTTTGCTTAACTTGATGAAATGAAGCTCGTCTTCGACGGAGTCGTAAAATTAAGGCAGACGTGGAAGGTCGTTCTCGGGATGTCAGGCAGAAAAGCGTCGGGTCCTCGCGTTTTTACTTGATTTGACTTCGTTTTGGAAACGGCCGGCACGCTGGGCCTGGCCTTTACTCTCACACCGATTCGCGTGGGCACAGGCATTCTTGGTCTTGGCTAATTTCAGTTCTTCCTGTCGTTCCTGCCTCTGCCGCGTCTGCTTCGAGAAAATGTGGCCACTCACTGTCATTCATGGCAAAGGAACGACTGCGTGTGAAATGTGTCTCCTACTATTTTAAGTCCCCCGTGTCGGATGGTTGGTAACATCCTTGACGAAAGCGGGCTCCTGCTTTACGGACCCTTCGCTAGTTCCGCAGACGTCAAGCGTCTGGCCGGCTTCCTAGGCCACAGTTGTCGGCGTAAGTTCCCCATTCCTTAAGGTAACTCGATCGAATAACAATTTCGGTAATTATTTCTATTCTCTCCACGGGGAATTATTAACAACAAATAAAGAACATGATGTTTTAATGAGAAACGTTATTTACAGAATATGCCTTCCTTTTGTAAAAAAAAAAAAATGGGAAAAGGGCATACAGGGAATAAATGGTGATGGGAAAAATAAAATATAAAATAAAATAAATAAAATAAAATAAAATAAAATAAAATAAAATAAATAAAAGCCCTGGCCGGTGTGGCTCAGTTGGTTGGGCATCTTCCTGCGCACCAAAAGGTCGCCGGTTCAATTCCCGGTCGGGCACATGCCCAGGTTGTGGGCTCCATCCCCAGTAGGGGGCGTGCAGGAGGCATCCGGCTGATGTTTCTCTCTCTGTCTCCCTCTCCCTTCCTCTCTCTGCAAAAAATAAATAAAAATAAAATAAAATATAAAAAAATAAAATAAAATAAAAAATAAATAAACTAAAATAGGCCGCGGGCTAGTCGTTTTGTTTTCTACGGAAGGACTGCCCTCCTGCCACCTCTCCCGGACCCTCCTACTTGCAGGCGGTGGGCCTGCTGCGGGCGTTGAGCCAGCGCCCGCCACACTTACTGAAGCACCTGGGCTCCGGGGACCAGCCGCCGGCCGTGCAGGTCGTTTTCTCCTCCTGCTTCCCCTTGTCGGTCGTGTAACCAGCCAGGCAGGAAAATGACAGTTTCTGGTCTACGCTCATCGGAAAGTAAAAGCTCGTAAACGTGTAGTAATAGAGGGCGACCCGTCCATTCTCCACGCTGGGAAGACCGCAGGGCTTCTCTGAAACGAGCAAACGGTCGGGCTGGAAACAGGGAACCGCGCCTGAAGCCGCGCATGACACTCGCGGCCCTTCCCAAGCGTTTGCGGACGCTTTTGACCAGTTCTTATTTTTATTACCTAATTTTTTTAGCCTATTTTTTTTTTAGAGAGAGAGGAAGGTAGAGAAACATCGGCCGGCTGCCTCCTGTGCGCCCCCTGCTGGGGATCGAGCCTGCAACCCGGGCCTGTGCCCCGACCGGGAATCGAACCTTCACCTCCTGGTTCATGGGCAGACGCTCGACCGCTGAGCCACACCGGCCCGGCGATTCCCTACATTTTTAAGTACTTCGGTGACAATCCTTCTCAGCTGGAATTAACCTGCAAGCGAGGCCAGCGCCCAACAGTCAGGTGGGAACCGGGCGGGCCCCTTGCTCAGAAAGTTTCCCCGAACTTCCTAAAGCTGCGCTTTCTAGGAAACGCGTGATGCCAGCGTGAGTCACACCTTCCGCGCAGGAGAATAGAACCGGAGGAGACTATTCGTGCAAATATCACCCTGCCCTGGAAGGTAGTATTCCTTGGCTTCGTGCAGGTCTGGTCACCCGGGCGGCCTGGCTCGGAGCAGTTCTTGCCGTTACGGAGTCACAGCTACCGGTTGGTCTACACGCCCCTCCCCCCCATGCCGCGTAATTATGAACAGAGCCCCCCCACTCTCCGCAGTGCCCTCGTTTGCAAAACCGGCAGAGGGTCCCCCTCCCGATCACTGCTGCGTGACCTCACCAGGCGCTGCACCGGGACAGAGATCGGCGCCGAGAGCCAGACGTCTTCCCGACGCTTTGTGGCTCTTTTTTCAGATCCCCCCCCTTTAAGCTCTCACTTGATGGTCGGAGCATTAAATCTGCCCGGGCTTTGCAGCCTGAGGAACGGGTCCTAGTGTGAAAGGGGGACTCGGGTTAATAACACAAACGTTAGCCCGAACTTCCTTTCAGGCATTTAGACCCCGGTCCCCTTGTGACTCAAAACCCGGAGGAACAAGGGTTCTGGGTCCTGCTCCGTGTTTCTAAGCTGGGTGGCTGTAAGGATAGTTCACGAGTTTTGCCCAAAGGAACACAATCTAAATATTACAGCAAATTAGAAGAAGCTGGTTTTTTATTAAATTGATACATAAAAATGAAAGACTATAAAAAGCTCAATGTTAGAATTTCCTTTTATAATTCTGAGAGAATAGAGAATACGAAAAATTAATGTTACCTTCTGCACGGAGTTCTCCCGAGAGCACTAGTAAGATAGTAAGAGCCAAGTCTTTGGACCCCATCTTCAGTGGTGAGCAACCGAGATTTCCAACATGTTTAAAGCCCCGGGGAGTCATCGGTACACAGCACCTCCGAGGAAAAAGTTAATTATTTACAGCAGCTAAGTCCCTTTGGAACAGGCCTTGTATCTCAGCTGAAACATTTTCAAATAATACTAAAATAACGCAACGACGTTAACTGGCAATACCTCTCACGCCCAAGTCCAGCAAGAGCCTGATAACCGATACAGGGAGCAATAACAGAAGCACAGAGAACGAACTCGGGCTGCATTTAAAAAAACGGGGTCAATTTAAACTTCATTCCCTATTATAAGCCCACAGGGTAAAGGTCACCGCTGATTTCTTTACGGACATATAAGGACACCACGCGGCTGAAAGGCTCTTCTGAGAAGTCTCCGCCCCTTTCCCAGAAAAAACGTCGAGTCCCCCTCCTCGATTAAAGGAGCCCCAATACAGAAGCCAGTGCCCCCAGAGGGGCTGCCCTGCCCGGGAGCGGCCTTCTCTGGGTCCCAGGGCCCCCCGAACAAACTCTCGCTTTAAGCTCTGTGCTGGCTCCAGTTTCAGTTCTTTCCTGCGCGAAGCCAAGAACCCACAGCAGGTTGCGGGCCTTCAGGGCGCAGGGCCCCGGAGGCCTGTATATTTTTGTAACTATAGAAAGTATATTCCACCTAGCAGTGGAACAAAGCGGGGGCGCATTTTTAACGTTTCAAAATCTACGTCTGGAAAGATCTTTTATTTCAGGTCAGAACAAAGGTGAACAACCTAATTTCTAAATGTTTATTTAAAAAAAAAAAATCAATGTATTTACACGGCGCGAACTTCAAAGGGTATAGAGTGAAAAGTCGCTGTCACAGACGTCTCCCTGCCCCCGGCTCCCCCCTCCAGAGGGCAAGTAATGGCCTCGGGCCTTCTGCCTTTTCCCAGAGTCGCCCCAGGCACAGGCAAGCAAATCCATACCTTGTTTAGTTAACAGTACGCGCTGGTGTGCGAGTGGCGTCCTTAGTTGTTTGTAGGGACTGTAATTTCATTACTTTTGGGTAATAACATCCCTAAAACGCCTGCAGGGTCTCGTGCGGGTGTCAAGTAGAACGAACCCCAGAACTGAAACGTGCGGTGATGAGACAGGTAAATATTGCCCCGTTTTTCTAATGGAAATGATGCCAGTTAACTCTCCCAGGAGGGTGTTTCCCACAGTCCCACAGTTTTCAGACGCTGCGTGTTCGCGATCAGACGTGTAAAAACGTGGAGCGTAATTTAAATTTCTCCCCCAAGCGAGACTGCAGACGGGGGCAGGGATGCGAAGGCCGCTTTGCGCTCGCGTCCGCGCATGTCCTCGGCTCCTCTGCGGAGCCGTTGGTCTGTCCCGCGCACGGCTTATTCCTTGAGGAGAAGGGTCTGATTCTGAGCTGCCTGTTCCCGTTCCTCGGTGTGCGGCTTCTCAGATTTGTTAGGGCAGGTTTTGCAGGGTAACCTTTTTTTCCTTGGAGATTTTGGGACCTGTGCCGTGTAGTTAGAATCAGCCCAACGCTGGTGGTGTTTTTGAACTATTCCCATCGTTTCTTATCGCGCATCTTTCTCCTGACGGGTGTCACTTGGCTACAGGAGCTCGTTTTCCCGAGTCGCACGCGGCTCCAGTCGCCTATGGAGTAATTCACTTACTGCCACGGGTCTGAATGTCCCCTTTCCGCACACGTGGATTCCCGTGTACGTTTGGGGTCTGTTATTAATTCTGTTCCTTTACCTCCTCCAGTCATCAAGTCAGCACCGGACTCTTAGCGACTTGAGCGGCAGAACCCAGGTGAGCGTCTAGTGAGTCTGGTCCGCCCGCGTCAGCTTTTTTTTTTTAAATGTCCTGTGCGGTTCTGCTTGCCTGTTTACTGGAATTCTCCCTCTGTCACTTTTTCGTTACACCAAAAATCGAGGACTGGTCGAACAATGTAAAAATTACTGGCACCCGTAGCTACTAGCAACAAGCAATCTAAAAGATAGTATATTTTAATGACTAAATACTTTTAAAGTACTAGGCTTTCATTGCTAAAAACAAAAAATTAGCAGTTATAAAGATAATAAACCTGGAAAAAATGTCACCCACCTATTGAGAAAAAATTGACAATTTTTAAAATACAAAATGCACAATATGAATTTCTTCCGCCCCAGATGAAGCCAAAATACGGGGTGAGTGGATAACAAGCTGGATTAAGGGTCTACGGGTGAAACTTCCAAGAATGTAAAAGTATGGGCTTTATTTGCAAAACCCACAACTGTGCATCATTCACTTACACATTTAAACTAAGTTTAGGAAACAAGATGAGGGCACAGGAATCAGCGGCCCCCACCGCCTCCCACAGCCACGTCAACATCACAACTAAAACACAGAACCACCTTCACGCGGAGCCTCCTGAGATCTGGCTGCACAGAAGCCCCACAACCAGGGAGCTGAGGAAGCACCGAGAGCGGGAGGAGGGGCGGAGACGCGGGCAGATCGGGGCTGGATCCCGGAGACGGGCCGCGGGCCCACCCCCGGTGCCGTGGGGTAAACCCAGGAGGNAGGCAGATCGGGGCTGGATCCTGGAGACGGGCCGCGGGCCCACCCCCGGTGCCGTGGGGTAAACCCAGGAGGACATCTCGGCAGCGGAGGTTTCCCAGAGGTGCGGGGGTCCCAGCCCCACAGCAGCCCCCAGCCCAGAGCTCCAGGGCCGGGAAGAGGTGTCCCCACAACTTCGGGCTGTGAACCCAGCGGGGACTGTCCCTGAGGGTCACGGAGGCTGCGGGAGTCCCAGGCTCTGCTCTTAAAGGGCCCGGCACGGACTCACTCGGACGCTCCCTCTGAGCCCAGCGCCGGGCAGCAGCCTGAAAGGAACCTTGGTGGGATGGCCGTATCTTCTTCTCACTTGTGAGTAGTCGGCAGAATCTAAAACACCCCCATTTACCTCTAAGACGAGCTAATAATTTACTCTATTCCCTTTAGGAACATGGTGATACCCAAACTAACATGTTTTAAGTTAACACACGAATGACAGTGTTATAATCATTTCATGACATTAGTTCCTCAAGTGCATAAAGCTATTAATAAAAGAAACAATGAAAAATGTAAAAAGAGTTTATTTGGAATATGTATTTCTTTAATTTTAATACAAAATCAGATTTTAAAAGATCTACAAAAGAAGCCAAAACACTACACAGTCATGATTAGCGTTGCTATTTTCACCGCAAGGCGGAGCTGTGGACACGGCCTAACAGGGAAGGCCAAGCGTCTCCATCACCATCTGAATGGCTTGCAGGGGGTTCGTGATCTCTTCCAGGGTGTCCCGTCTCAAAACCCAGCCTGGCTTCAGTCTGTGGAGAGAACGAAGGTCCCGCATTAATGAAGTCCGCCTTTCTGCCTAAACTAAGGGGCGGCCGCTCCTGAGCACGCTGCTCCCGGGCACCCTCAGACACCCTCCAGCCCTCCCCAACCCCTGTCCGAGCCTGGCCACTCTTCCCTGCTGCCTCTGGCCGTTTACCAAACCTGTGCTTTGTTCCCCGTAAACGTGGCTCTTGGTCTTCTCAGTAACGCCGCCCAAGTGGTGAAAAAGCCAGACGGCACCTGTCAACCGGCCCTTTCCTCTGTCCCGCCTCAGCCAGTCCCTTCTCACACCATCGGACTCGTCACCAGGAGGCGCCACACCGTCTCCGCCAGCACGCGAGGCCGCGCGTGCGATGCAGACTCTCCACTTCCTCCGCCTAAGCGTCTGCTCCCCGGACCCCAGCACGGGCCTCATCCCTCGGGCGCCGCCCAGCCCTCCCGTCCAGGCAGGTCCCTCAGCGCCAGTCCCGCCTGCCTGCTGAATCCAATGGGTCCCTCACTGAGGCCTCTAGACGGATTCTTCCGCCCGGAACCACAGACCTGACTGTCTAGAGCTGCTCTGCTCCCCGAGATGCCCCCTTCGGCTCACTGTTCCCCGAGATCCCCCCTTCGGCTCACTGTTCCCCGAGATCCCCCCTTCGGCTCACTGTTCCCCGAGATCCCCCCGACTCTCTTCTTGTTCGACGCTGTTTCTCAATCGTCAAACGCGCGCTGCTCACAGGACTTACTCCTCCGTGTCCCGAGCGCACGCTGAGTGCAGTGACGAACCCAGAACGCGCTTCCTGCTTACCGGGCAACCACCCTGGTTCTCACGGGCGTTTCTGGAACGGAGGAGCCGCTCAGAGAGGAATTCTGATTCTGCTTACACAGTGTCCTTTCAGTATCTACTCTGTGCTTATGAGCTGTAAGCTTGTAGATACTATACACACAGTCAACAACTTTGGACCTGTTTCGAACATCCTAAAAAAGAAAATTCACATTGACTAAAACTAGTAAGTAAATTTTACATTCCTTCTATGCTACCCAAATCGATCACAATAAACCAACACTATGCAGTAAGCTAGCTCTCCAAGTTCAGAAGTTAGGCTGGGTGGGATTAGAAACTAATTTGTAAGACAATTATTAAGAAGGCAGATACTCAAATAGTGTCCACTTAAATCTACGCCGAGTAAAAGGCAAACATCAGAGTCCACAGCCACTCGTTCAGTTACTGGGTTCCCAGGATGACGCCCTCGGCCCAGCAGCCTCTCGTCTAGACCACCACATACCTACACTTGTCTCTCCCCGTAGTAGTCCCCCCACATCCAGCATGTTCCCCCAAATCCATTCTTGCACCAGTAGCCAGAGTAATGGGAAACCTGAAACTCACAGAGGCCCGACTTGCTGCCTGCAGGAGCACCGCTAACAGACAGCAGGTTTTGGTGAAAATGCTGCCGCTCTTGTCCGGGACTCTGTCGCCAGGCTTCCCCCGGTACCTCTTCAAAAGCTCCAGCAGGGTGTCCACAGAGCCCTCCACATCGTAAACCGCGGGCGTCGTCCTCTCGTACTTGAAGAACAGATGACGGGAAAGTGACAGTAAACACACGTATTCTTAGCAACCACCAGTCACGGGGGAGGTGGGGCGCCCAATGTCGGGACTACACCCAGCAGTGCGGAGATTAACGAGACGACCTGTTACTGTCCACTCTGAATTCGTCTACGGGTGTCTCTGCACTTTAACGTTTTCCTATCTCACCGACATCAAAGTTCCACAAAAACGAATCCCGTCTCGTGTTTCTGAAGGTGAACACCCTGAAGCGAATGCAAACAAGCCCGAGACAAGGCCGTTTCCGCAAGAGCCTCTCAGGAGAAAGACCCTGTGCGTCAGCTGACGGCAGAGTGAGATCGAGATAAAGGCCAATCTAACTCACTACCCTCGTCACGCTCTGGAGAGGAAGGCGGGCTTGCTTTAAAATAGAGCGCGCCGAGTACCGGTAGGTCACGCCCCAGATTCCCAACGGCAGCAGGGCACTCATTTTGAAACGTGCAGGGTAACGAGTAATGCTCAGGCTAGAAAGACAAAACCCCACCACCACCAGGTTATCAGGAACTGACTGGCCCTTCCACGGTCCTGTTGTACTGACTCACTCAGTCCTCGCAGCAACATCGGGGGGCGCGGGCATCACTGCGCCCACTGTGCAGGGACAGCGGCTGAGGCCAGAGAGGCTAAGGAACCGGGAGTGGGCTGCGGAGCGGGACTCGCACCCAGGCAGTTGGCACGGGAGCCTGTGGCTCCACCACTGCTGCTCCACCAGAAAACGGGGTCGAGTGCTCCAAGCTGCGGCTCGGGGGGTGGGGAAGACAGGCGTGTCTCCTTTACCTTCGACTGCGTGACTACCCTCAGTACAGATACCGGCCCTGTCCAACCCCAGAGACGTAAATGCCACTAGACAGAGCACGCGGGGCGACTGGGCGACGGCAGCACCTCTACCTGCTGTTCTGACAGGGCCGTCGGAGAGAACACTGGTCGGCAGGCAGACAGAGCCCAGCTCTGTCCAAGTTCAGCTCTGCCACTCATCTCCTGGAGTCCTCAGGTAAGCAGCTTATGTGAAATCATCCTGCTCTCTAACTGGGAGTAATACCAGCTCCCCCAGAAGTGGGTCTCACTAAGTAGGTGCTCAATAAACGCCAGTATCACAGTTACTAATATTACGAAGACAGAAGAAAACCATAAAAATGAGTGTTTCCTGAACAGTCCTGCTAACAGATTAACCATATTTTCCCCAAGGCTCTCGCACTCGAGTGAATTAACTTGGGGTCTAAGTTCTGGTGACAAGCAACAGGGACTGCACTTGCTGAGCCTGACTTTGCGACGTGAAGAGTTCACGACTGAAGTGGACAAGCACCTTAGCCACGTGGAGCAGGACCTGCACAGCGTAGCTGACGACTTCCATACAGGGGACACTGCGGTTACAACTTCGGATCAGAGCAAATATCTTCAAAATCGCTCCACTCCGGGCCATGTTCTCACAGCAGAGCGGAGACAGTCTCGTGACTACCTCTGAAAAGGGGAGAAGAGAGACTCACAGCAACAAAGGGAGATTTTTGCTACTGCTGCTCGTTCTCTGCGCGCTCAGAGGGGACAGTGCGCTCCCGACCTCACAGCAGGTGCTGCTGGGACAGGGCCACTAACCGAGGTGCTTGAGAGCCTCGAGAATCGCAGACAGGTGCTTGTACGTCAGCAGGTAGTGAAGAGCAAGCGCGGTTCTCTTGTAGAGCTTGTCTTCCTCTCGAACCTCCCCATTGATGACCCGCAGGCTTCTGCGAATCGCTCTGATCTTCGTACAGCCGCTTTTCTTCCTCAGGGAGTAGCCTCTCCACAGCGCCTTGGACACAAAGCGCTGTATGTTAAAGACCACAACCCATGGTGCTCTGAACTTGTATCTGCGTTTATTTCCAAAAAGTAAATATTTTCAGTAAATTTATGTGATGTGATCAGACACTTGGCAACTAAAACCTCGTATCAGGTTCTAAGAAGCAGCTAAATCAATCTTTCTAAAAAGAAGTACATTAATATCCCTGCACATAAACTGAAGTTCATTCATTGGCCAAAGATCTCTACCTATTCAAAACGCTGGTACACTTTCCATCTCCCAAACACAAACTTCCTCCAGGGAACCTGAAGACAACCCGGGGGTGGGGGCGCAGCAGTGAGCTGCGGCAGCTCAGTGTGGGCGACCCGCTCTGCCGGCCGAGCCCAGCCCTTAAGGTGCACGTGCCCGTTCTCGACGTGTCAGGCTCACGTCAAGGAGCCCAGCCAGCCTGCAGCTCAGATCAGTGCGGAAATACCTGAACCCTGGTGATGCCTCTGTTCAGCTTCTCCGCCTTTCTGCGGAGGAGGAAGCGGCGCACGGCGGCCTGTATCACTGCCGCCGCCCTGTCCCGCCGTCGCCGCCGCTCCCCAGCTTCCCGCCGAAGGTCTGCGAGGCTGCGACAAACCTGCGCCAGCCTCTTCAGCCGCAGCCGTGTTCGAAACCACCTCTGTTTAAAACACGGGAAGATTCCGCTTTGGTTTTCTGAGGAAACGAATGCGTGTGCACACCGACGACTCCGACGTAAGTCCGCATCAGCGCACACAGGGCTCGCATCCAGAGCACACGCAGAACTCCGGTAAGGCACACGGGAAAGGGGCCGGCAGAAAAAAGGCAAAGTATACACTAGAAAAACCCATTTTAAAAGCACACGGCACAGAGGATGTGAATCCAAAAGACACACAGGACAGAATTGGCACTCGCTACCGTGGCAAAACCGGAGAAGCGGCTGCCATGCGTGGTCAGGACAGAGGGAAACAGGCCGCCCAGACTCTGCCAGGCGGAGCGTGAGTGCGCGACTTCAGAGTACGTCTCAGCTTTATTCCTGCGTCAAAAACCACCAACCCCTTCCTAACCCGTCGGGTCATCCCAGCAGCTGTACGGGAGAGGCTCAGTATCACACGACTACATACGGCCGTAGCGGAGCGCACTTGGGATTACTTATCAAGTATCACGATGTGCACCACACGTTACACCCCACAGCTCCCCTGCAGAGCAGCGCTGACCTGGATACAGATGACGGCATCCACGTGCTTTGCCGCGGTCCTCACGGCCACGTGACGTCTGTACGCTCTCTGGATTCTGAGGGCAGACAGGTGACACCGGGCAGCAGCTGTAAAGCGAAGAAGCCTCACGCTGGCTTTCTGTTCCGAAATCTAGAGGAGAAAAAACATTAATAATCAGATATTTGACTTGTAAGACGATCCATCCATGTTTACTCCTGTACATCCTTACTACGAAATTATATAATTTTTAAAGGTCAAATTATTTACACTGTTAACTCAAAAGTGATGATAATCCTTCACAGAATTTCCAGCTGTGTAGTCCAGCGTTCAGGGTATAGACAGTAAAGTTATATTTTGTGCAATTTACCAAAGAATAGCACTTAATTTAACAAGAGCTCCCAAGAACAGCTGGTTAAGACTTTGCATGTGTTAATTATCCTGACAGACGTATATGAACAATAAGCTCAAAAAGCTCCAGTATTCCAAGCCGCGGTCCTCACGGATGGAGATGGAGACGTTAAATCAGGCAAAACCGAGTTATTTCTCAGCCAGCCTAGGGAAGGCCCAGCCAGCCCGAGGCTCTGTGAAGCTCCCTGCAGCGGCCTGGAGGTTCTTGAATTTCTCAATGGAAAGTGAAATGGAAAATCATGATTCCTTTTACATTTTTAACTTAAGAATGTCACATTCCACAGAAAAGGCGATGGTGCACAATTTCTAAACCCATCTAGGTCTGTGGTGAAAACTGGAGCTCCTGTGAGGGGCAAGCCTGGGTCCGTGGGTACCTGTGCGCGATCCCTCCTCCCGACAGTCTCACCGGGAGGGGCGGGCACTCCCGTGGCTACAGGCAGGACGTCTAACTAACATGCCCCCTATAGCAGAGAGCAGGGAACAGGCGTTAGGAACAGCTGCTCTGTGTTAAATAAAAGTTTTCACTGACAACAGTGATGTGTTTAAAATAATGCAGTTAGGTCTTAAACACAGTCTTTCTGTTTTTCGGTCCTAGTGCAGTGCTCTGCAGACGAGCTGTTTACTTCTAGACCTGCCTTCATCATCAAGTGCTCGCGAGCTCTCCTTCCAGAAAGTATTGCTCTCCATTTCCTCTGAATGGTGACTGCTGCCGCTCTCAAGTTCAAAAACCTGAAAAGTAGTTATTGGAAAGCAATTTCAAATTAATCTATTCAGTGAGTGTTTACTGACCCCCCTTTAAATAAGTCCTAGAGGGTAAAGAAAATACAAGAAAGGCAGTAACAACGGAAAATAAAAGGAAACGTGTACTTCATACTTAAGTTCTAGCAGCCATCATCTCAGCCACACACACGCACACACACGGCCTCCGGCTCCCCCCACGCAGTGCGACCTTACCGCGCTCTCGTCTGCTTGGCAGAGAAGCCACGCTGAACGGTTCTGACAGCTCTCAGCACAGCCAGGTACTCCTTCCGTGCCCTCCAGCCCCTGTACCAGGCCTGAATCCTGCAGGCGGCCCTCACTTCACACGCATGCTTCCCGGCTCTGTATCTCCTCCACGCAGCCTATCAAACACATAAACACCCAGCGCAATTACATTCTTTGAGGACAGCAACTGAGTCTACCTTCCCTCTGGTCCTCCCGCCCGCTATAGGATTTGACACAGTGTCAGCACCTGACACTGGCTGAATGGAAACATTATTTCTAAGCTTATCAGCAACCCAGCAAGATACCAACATATCATACCTGGGTCCACAGCCCAGGTTATTACAGGTAGAACAGAAATAACTGAAGTACCCGATTCAGTTCCTGGGTCTGCTTCTCTCCAGTGAACAAAGTAAAAGTGCTTTGCAAACTAAATGTGTTAAACACTCAGAATGAAGTGCATGTGTCCTTCCAGACTAAGACGCTCTGACTCACAGACCAGTACAGGAATAAAGGAATTCCATTTGGCCTAAATTATGCCAAATACCACTGTATCTTGGCTTAAATTTTTCACTTAAAAATAATGTCACCCAATGGAGACCTCCCCTTAATCAGACCGCGTTCTGGGAGCTACACTGACACCTATGGAAACGCTCCAGGCATGGGTGGTCACTGTCCAGACAACCCCAGTCCTAAGCTGCCATAGCCAAATTTTTCTTGGTGCCCTTTCGCCCTCTCGAGTACTGTTCTTTATGACCTGCATGAGTTCACTTCAAAAACTCTAATAAACAGGGTCAAAGGAAGGAAGAAAGCTTTAAGTATCGAAGTACCTGGATTTTTAAGGTGCTGTCTTTAATCCTGTGAAACCTCCGTCTCTGTAGGAAGCCCCTCGTTCGAGCCTGAATGGTGACAACACTGCTCCTGGTCTGTAAATACGCTCGTCTCTGGTGTCTTGCAGACGCACAGGCCCGGCAGCGATTCTGCACGACCACAGCCGCCCTCCTCAACAGCAGGAACCTGCTCCGACACACAGCCATCCGGAGGAAGGCCTGAACCCGCAGGGCAGCACACTGCTGTGTCTCCAAGGTCCCTGTGGCCATTTCCCAAGAGGCTGGAGGACTCTTTCCCTCAGCCTCACTCTGAGAACCAGCAGCCAGAGAAACTCCGGCCCCCGTGTGCGGCCTGGCCACTGGGCTCCCAGCAGCGTCCTGCTGAGTCCCAGCACCGTCACAGTGGGATGCGGGTGGCTCAGCAATGGCTGCCTTCTTGTCCTCAGGTGCCTTTTCCAGCTCCCGTCTGTCTCTCAAGCCTCTGAAGGCCGGCTGAAGAGTCCGTGCAGACTTCTGGACTGCTGAGAGCTGTCTCCTCTCTGCCGCTCCTCTGCCGCAGGCCCTGTAGCGATTCTGTATCACAGTGGCTGCGCGTCTCTTCGCTCGGTAGGCAGCACGGGCCCTGTGCATCCGGTAGAAGGCCTGGAGGCACGCGGCGGCCTGGTGCCTGCGCTGGACGTCCGTCCGTCCCAAAGCCCTGCAGGGAGACTGGAGATGGGTGGCTGCTTCAGTTCGCGCTGCCTTGACCGCTCTGTATCTTCTCTGAACAAAAACCACGGCGGCTCTGACACAGAGATGACGCCTCCTCATTCTGAAGGCTCTGAAGTGCTTCTGAATGACGGCAGCAGCCTGATGCTGCTCCTGCATCAGCCTCCCCACCCTCGTGTCCTGAAAACCTGCCTGAGCGCAGGCTGCTGCTCTCGGGAGTGCACCGTGTTCGAGAGCCTTCTCTTCACTTACTCTGTGTTTTTCCTGTATCGTGTCTGGAGCCCACCCAAGCCTCTGGTGGAGAAGACACTGCCTGGGCCCCCTGTCTGTGCTCTGGACCACAGCGGCCGCTCTGTGCTGCTCCCGGAGAGGCCGCCTGGCCCTCACTCCCTCGCACGTGGCTGGCAGGACCGCAGCTGCACACTTCTGTCCAAGATGACGTTCCCTCCGCAATCCTGTAGCCCTGCGGGCTCGGTACCACTGCTGGACCAGGACCACGGCACGCGCTAAGGCCTGGTACCTCCTGCGCGCCCTGTGCATTCTGAAAGCAGCCTGGATGACGGTGGCAGCCACGTGCATTTCCCGCAGCTGCCTTCTCACCATCCAACCTCTGAGCAAAGCCTGGATTTTAACAACAGCCTCTTGCAACCGCAGAAACTGCAGGTGGCGCTTCGCACGCATGTTAGCTCGATGTCGTCTCTGAGCCCAGACAGCGGCCTTCCTGAGAGACAGGAATCTTCTCCTTGTCGCTAGAGTTCTGAACCTCCTCTGGACAACAGCTGCGGCCAAATGCAGAGCCTTCAAGTGTCTCCTGGCTCTCCATCCCCGGAAGGCGGCCTGGATGCGAATCGCAGAGCACCGCAGCCTGCTGTACCTCTGCAGCTGCCCGGCTCCGGCCTGCGCCGCCCGGCACCTGTGCTGCGCGGGGTGGGCTGCCTTCTTCAGCTCAGCGAAGCACATCTGCTCTCGGTGCCTCCGGTAGCAGGACTGGATCAGCACTGCTGCCCCGTGCATCCTCCTCAGGGTCCGCCTGACTCGAGCTCCTCGGAAACTTGCCTGAAGAACAGTAACAGCCTTCACAATGGCCATGTACTGTGCGCGCTGAGTTTTACCTCGATCGTAAGCCCTGAATCTCACTTGAATGACGACGGCTGCAGCTCTCATTTGACAGAACCTCCCCCTTGACTGGTGCATCTTAAACACGGCTCTGATCAAGGTGGCCGCCCTGTGCATGTGCTGCATACGTCTCCTCACACGAATGCCTCTGTACACAGCTTGGACTAGGGTGGCTGCCCTCTTTAAATTAAGATATTCCCTGCGTTGCTGGTTTGTGGTTTTCCTACTCCGGTACCATCTCTGAATGACGACAGCTGACGCTCTGCAGGCCGTGTACCTCTTCCTGGCCCTGTGTGCCCTGTACCTGGACTGTATGATGACCGCCGCCCTGTTGACCGCCTGCATCCTCTCTCTTCTCACCCTCATCCTCCGGAAGGCAGACTGTAAAGTGAGGACGGCTGCCTTGGTCCTCAAATACAAACGCTGCTGCCTCCTTCCAAGACTGCAGGCCCGGTAGTGCACCTGAATCCGACAGGCAGCCTCGCTCATGGTTTTCCACTTCCTGCGCTGCACGTGCATCCTGTAGTACCCCTGGATGACGACAGCACACTCCTGGCGCCTCTGGATCTGTCTCCTCGCTACTCGCCCCCTCCACGCAGCCTGCAGCGTCAGCGCGGCCTGCCGGAGCTCCGCGTACGCCACACGCTGCTTCCTTCCCTCAGTCCTTGCTCTCCAATGTCGCTGGAGGGCCAGCGCTGCTGCTTTCAGCAACTGGAACTGCTTCCAGGCCTGGGCCTTTCTGAAAGCGGACTGAATCCTCAGTGCTGCCCGATGTTCCCTTTGGATCTGCTCCCGAACTTTCCAGCCACGATAAGCAGACTGGAGAGAAATCGCAGCTGCCCTGGTCTTTGAAAACTGTGCTCTTAGGTCATGAACAGTCCTGCGTGCCCTGTACCACCTCTGGATCGTGATAGCCGACCGAAGCACAGACTTATACCTCATCCTCTCACTGTAGCCTCGGAAGGCGGCCTGAATGGAGAGGGCAGCTATGGACTGCTGTCTGATGAGCTGGCGAACTCTGTAGCCTCTGTAGGCTGCCTGCAGACGGGTAACTGCCCTTTGGACATGCAAGTCCTTCCTCCGGCTGAGCCGTGCCTGGTACGCGCGGTAGTAATTCTGAATGACTAGAGTTGCTCTGCACATCTTCAGGTAGCTCTGCCGCGCCCTTCTCATTCTGAAGCATGACTGCAGTGAGATGGCAGCTTCCCTCTGCCGCCTCACTTGCTTTCGGACCAGGTACCCTCTCGTGCAGGCCTGCAGGTGGACACAGGACTCCCGCAGCTGCCGGTACTCCTCTCTCCTCAGCGTGGCCATTTTCAGGGACCGGTACCGCTGCTGGATGAACAGGGCAGCTGCTTTTAAACGTAAATACTGTTCGCGAGCCTGTTTCATCCTGACAATAGACTGTAGCTTGACTGTCGCATGTTTTAGGCTCAGGAACTTTTTCCTGGAAATGTAAGCTCGGTAGCATGACTGAATCTTCACGACAGACACGAGGGCGTGGTGGAGCTGCTTCCTGGCCCGCATCCCGCGGCACGCAGCCTGCAGAACCAATGCGGCAGCACGTGTTTCCTGGTAAGACGCGAGAACTGTCCTGGCTGACATGTAAGCCCGGAAGCGAGCCTGGATTAAGAGAGTGGCTTTCTTCATCTTCCTGTATCTCTGTAACTGTTGGTGTTTCCTTACGTGAGCCTGCAACCTGATGGTCATTTTCCTAAGGTTCAGAAACTGAGACCTCTCCCGTCGCATTCTCCAGTTTGCCTGCAGAACACAGGCAGCCCTCACCCGCCTGTGCAGGTGCCGGGCCCTCGCCGCCCTAAATGCAGCCTGCAGGCAGAGGGCCGCTGCCCGAATCCGCAGGTAGCAGGCACGCTGCGCCCTTCCCATCAGGTGTGCCCGCCAGAGCCGCTGGACCGTCAGCACAGACTCCTTTTTCCTCCTGTACAACTTCTGGGCTTGAAAGCACCGAAACCTTGTCTGAATGAGGACAACACAAGACCTGATGTGCCTGTATCTCCGCAGCTCCCTGTGCATGCGGTACCACGACTGTATGGTGGTGGCGGACTTCTCCTCCTCAGCCCGCCTGCTGGCTCGCCACCGTCTGAAGGCCCTCTGCAAGGTCACCGCCGCTCCTCTCCGTAACCGCATCTCTCGGCGCTGCCGCCTCCTGAACGCAGCCTGGATGACCAGGCACGAGGACCTGAGCGTCTTGTATCTCTGCCGATCCAGCTTCCTTCTTACGCACGCTCGCCAGTGCCTCTGAATGGTAACTGCAGCCCAAAGGCAGCGTTTGTAAGAGGCGACAGCGATTGTCATTCTTATTCTAGACTGCAGGGCGACTACATAGTGTCTCAGTCTCAGAAACTGCTTTCTAGCGGAATGTCTTCTCCAGTTTCTCTGCAAGAGGTAAGAATGGACACAAAGTAAGAGACATAACTTTCTGTACTCAACACACTCGAATGTATTAACATTTTAAACATCTTACTTAAAAATAAGTACACTGAATTAAAAAACAATGTATTTTTTGAAAAAGACACTTGTCTCTTGTGCATAGTTTCTACATTGATGTGGCTATGGCCAACTCACAAATCCCTGTCTCAATCCCAATGAAATCACCTAAAACTGGGAATACCACCAATATCCTTCAATCAAATGTGGTGCCTCATGCAGTGAAATGCTCATCAGCCACAAACAGGAATGAACTCCTGGGCCGCGCAATACCTCGGATGTGTCTCAAAGGCACATGGCGAGGGACGAAGTGCCAATCTCAAGACAGGCAGGACAGAGTGATGGCGTTTACCCCAGGTGCAGAGGGAACATGCAGGACGCATCTGAGGGTTTATCGTATTTCACTTCCTTCCTTAGGAAGTCATTAAAACTCTTTAAACTCAAGTCTTCTGGATACTACACCTGGATAACCAACGCTGCCGCATTCTGAACTTTTCTTAGCTTTTCCCTTTTTAACAGCAGTAACTGTCTCTGTGCTAAGAGTCTCCGCCAGTGTTTCTGAATGACCAGAGCCGCGTTCGCTGCCTTCTTCAGCCGTCGTTTAGTTAGGAAATCGATCACAGCTGATTGGATAATTCTTGCAGCTCTGTCTCTCTCCTTAAAAAATATTAATAATCACATGAGACCCTCAATTATTATTTGTAAGAAAAGCATCAAGATGGACAGGCTGTGCCACCCTTTCATGTGTAGTACCTGCTGGTGCCTTAGATCCGCTTTGCGTTTATACCTTCTCCATGCTGCCTGTATGAGCCGAGCAGCCCGGGTTTCCCTGCGGAGATCTAGCAGCCGCGCACAGAGAAACGACAGGTAGGTAATGACCACCTACGAGAAAACATAAAAGATGGAGACAGGCCAGAGACAGAGAATATCCGGCTCCCACCTCTGAGACATTTACTTCTCAGGTGTCAGATGAGGACTCTTCCTCCACTTACCTTTTCATCTGGAATTGTGTTTGACATGTCTGAGTGCTGAATCATGGCAGGTACCCCCCCGAGGTCTCTAACCGCAGCCCTCACCAACTGGAAATTCCTCCTCTCGTTTTCCAGGAGCTCTTTGTGGAGCTCTGGACTATTTCCTGCTGCGCAAGGAAGAAAAAGATCAGAGCTCTGGCCAAAAGTCAGGCGTGGCAAAGTCACAGTGTGAAACGTTATGGGTCAAGAGGGACTGACCGACATCGACTGCCTTCAGGGACACATCCAGGCAGCTCTCATCAGACTCGGAGGATGAGTTCAGGACCACTGAGCCCGTCTGCGCACACTCCACTGTCTGAGTGGTCCGCTGACATATGGCGTCCAAAGGCACACAGCAAGGGTGGTAGTGGTGGATCAGGTAACACAGCACGCGGCCGTCAGAGAAAGACACCGTGAAATTCTCCACCTGGTGGGACACACCAGAAAAGGAATCAACTGCACTTGGAGAGTATCTCCTTTTAACAGCTAAGAATGTCACATTAACTGCTCCAACCACCTAGTATAACCCCACATTCAGAGCCAAATCCTCAGTTATAATGCCTTCACTCATTGGAGGAAAGGTCTGCTTATACATATGAACTGAATTATTTAAAAAATGCCAAGACAGAACTTATGCATCAAGTTTAACTGACTTTAACCAAGATTTACTTAGATACTGGGCTACAACAAGACAAGGAAATGCACCTTCTGGTTGTAGAAGGCGCACACGGCGTTCACCCACTCCATCAGCAGCGCTATGCTCTCACTGCAACGTTCAAAGGGACTGCTCTGCCTTGTGTCCGTCTCCTTACTGATGACAGCATCTGAGCGGCGGGAAAGCGCGGACCCTGTTCTGTTCACCCTCAGGTGGTGTAAAAATTCAATTTCCTCTTTTAACTCATCTAAATTAAGAGAAATATCCACCTGAAACACAAATGAAAATAGCGTCTTTTGTCCTTTAAAGGGTAAAATACCTTTGGATACAGTATCATTTTTAACCCACAGAAGTTAAACTCTACACAGAAGTGATGGGATGTGCAGTGGTCAAGTCCACAGACTCCAGGCCACATAAGCCTGGGCCCCACTCGCATCTCATCTCCTCCCCATGAAGTGACCTTTCCCATCAGCTGCTTCCCGTGTGAGTGAGGTGGTGCTAACAGCCACCTTAGAGGGGTGCTGTGAAGATGACCCCAGTTCCTGGGACAAAATAACATCCAGTAAGAAACAGTCATTATTGTTAGTCTTTATTTGACAAATGGATAAAAAGTGGAAAATGCACCAGATGTAAACTACCTGGAAAGCCAGAGCTATTTTCCAAAGCAATGCGAGCGTTTTCTCTCTGTGCCTGTCCACGATGTCCTTAGACAGGATTGCGTTTCCTGCAGATGGAAACACAGTCCTTCAGCACAACACAGGGACACGGGCATCTTCCCTGAGAAGCAGCATCGCTCAGTTCTCACCATGCTCATCATTTAAGGGGACCCCGTGGGACCTGAGGACCTGGAGCACGAGGTCAACATTGTGCATCTTCTGGAGACGACTTATCGCAGGGATTCTGAGCTGCTTTGAGAGGTCCCAGTTCCGTGTGAGAAGCTCCATGGTTCGCCTAACAGACAGTGATGAAAGTAGACAAACGCAGACAAAATAACCCTTCACTTAGATATAGTTATCACCCATGTAAATCTCCCCAATTTAAAGAGTTCGAGGTTACGAAAGACTCTATAGCACTCCATGGAAACTCTTGCTCCAGTCAACACCCTAAAGGCCACCCTGCCTTCCCCGCAGGTATGGGGTGCTCACAGAATCACACCAAAGCCAGTTTCAAGGCTTCCAGTTTGACATGAGGAAAACGTGTGATTTGACTCCAGACCCCTCGTGTGCAAAGTGAGGTCAAAACCACAGCATTGGTCTCGAATGCTGTCGTACCCGTGGGGCACTGCCGACAGTGTTGTCTCGAGGTCTCCCACCCCGTCTGGCACCAGCAGGTCTCACTCACACACCCTCATCAGAGGCCAGCAGGGAAACACAGTGGGTAGGAGACAGTGTCTGGGCCTAAAATTGACACAATTTTCCCAAAAGTGTTGCTGACGCTTATTCCAATTTTTTTAACCCTAAATTCATTCCATTTTGTGAAAAAGCAAGCAAGACGGTGTAAATACAGAAAAAAGTGTCTTCCAGAAAATTTAGTCTGTTCCTCAGTAAACCAACTCTATTTCTCATACTTACACAAGGCGCACCCCACACTGCAAGTCCACAGCGAGATTGGTGACAGCGAAGTCAAATTCATCCAGTGGCGTCTGAACATGGCTGACAGGCAACCCCAACAGGCTCAGGTGACGGGAAAGGTCGCCTTCGCCACTCAGAAAGTCCCGTGAAAAAGCCAGGAGAAGGTCCTTACTAGCCTGGGGAGAAACGAGCCGCAGGTATTATATTCCAGTCGTATAACTCTGTTTACAAGAAAAGTATCCTTTAAATCATTCTGTACATGTAAACCCTTTAAAAACGTGCTGATGATACTCTAAAACTAGCACTGATTTGCTGACATACTACGTCAGGAAAGAACTTCCCACAGATTGATCCCTCAGAAGCCCAGTCTGTGCGTCTCAGTCACAGTTAAGAGAAGGGTGGGTGATGCTCACGTCACTGACAAGACAGGAGGGCTGGAGCTGCTGTGGGGATCACTAGACGACTCCTCTATTCCTCCCCAGAGCTCTGCTCCAGGGAACTAACGTTTCCTGAACTAACGTTTCCTTAACGTACACAATACAGGCAACAGAGGTCTTCAGTGTGAAACACACAGAGAACACACTGAAGAAAACTGCACCTTGAATCCAGCGTCTTTACAGAAGAGACAAGGGTCGTGGTCGATGAGCCGGGAGAGTTTAGCGTAATCAAGGAAACAAACGAGCAGCAGCAGCTTCTTCAGTGTGAACCTGGACAGAGCTTCCTCGTGACCTTGGACAGCACAAGAAAGCGCAGCAAGTTAACTGGGAAGGACCGGTTTCTGCTAGTAAGGGAGTAACAGGCAGTACACACTCAACGCCGCGTGCCTTTCTCAGTGCTCTGCACGCCTGGATTCACTACTAAAGCTACGGCTAGGTACCAGGTAATGTTCCCAACCCAGGCAGGAGGAAGAGAGGCTCAAAGGCAGCACCAGCACAGTTCACCTCGCTCAGCGAATCCTCAGTGAGCACCTGTATACGCAGGCACGAGCCCAGGCGCCACACACAACAGAAACTAAAGCGGATATGACCTCCACGGGGCTACGGCCTACTTGGGGCGGGGGACAGGTATAAACAGTTACAGGGGTGGAGGAAATGATGGGGCATAATGGGGGAGGAGGAAGGGAGGGTGGTAGGAAGAAGACCCTATTTACACGGGTTTCTCCAGCAGGTGATTTCAGAGACAGAGAGCAGGGAAATGAGGTGGAGGGAGGACTCAGTACCATCTCTGTACAGATGAGGGACGGAGGGGTGTCTGTACTCAGCAGCTAAGTCAGGATTCCACAGTAAGCGGCTCAGGATAAACACAGCCATCCCCGTGACGTCACTGTTGTCTTCCAAAGCTATGAGTTCTCCAAAGACCGTCTGGAAGGAAATCAGAGCTAAAGTTAGGGCTATGTTAACTCCGAGAAGCAAAAGGGTGCAAGGGGAAGCCAGACAGTGACCTTCTAAGGACTGGCCATGTTCTCTGTCCTAGGTAGTGGGGAGGGACCCAGACTTCTGCCAAATAACCTCTGCACACTCTACAGACGTGTCTGTGCACTTTTAGTGTGTATGGTACACACTTCACAGTGAAAAAGAAAAGCTTGGGGCTCAGATAAATTCTTCAAAATCTGCTTCAACCTCTGCCACAAAATAGCTCTGTCCCAAATAGGGAGGCTGCACGTAGCTGAGGCTCCAGAACTCTCAACATGTGAAGTGGAGCCCAGGATATGAGATTTTCTCATTAAGCATTCATTGAAAAAATAAGAAACTGAATTGAATTTCAATTTAATTAAATAAGAATTAAATAAGAAGTCTTAGCAAGGACACTGTTGAACTATGGGATGTTTGTTACCTGTCAGCCCCAAGCTCTGGATCAATAGAAGCCAGATTATTATAGAAACTCCTTTCAGGCCGAGATTGCTCTAGTCCAAAATCTACAGTAAGTGGAAGGACTGGATACCCATAGGACCAAGGTAAGAAGCCAAAAAAACCAAAAGGATACCAGTAAAAGACAGCAGATTTTTTTTAACAGTCAACTACTGCTGTCTTTCTAACTCAATTGGTTTTAACATTCTAAGGATTACTGAGCCACACACCACAGGAACCTCACATTCTGATGACATTTTATGAGCTGTATTCAGAATGGTCACAGTGGCCTCGGACGGGTGCAGGTTCACTCCTGGCCAGGTGCTGACTCAGCAAGTCCTTCACATCGGTAAAGTGGAAATAGCAACACTTACCCCAGTGGGCTCTTACCAGGTTTCAATTAGAAAACGGACTTAGAACAGCCTAGTTCAGTCATTGTAAAGGCTCAAAAAAGAGCTTACTAATTCGCTATTATATCTAGTACCAATTATACATATATATATATGTTGTTGTTGTTTTGGTTAGTTTCTGATATATATATATATTTCAGAAACCAAAAAGTTACTATAAAATTAAATGGCGATAACACACTTTGGCATAGGGTCCACTTACCTCACGAGCATTTACTAAAGGACCTTTGATTTTAAACTGAAAGGATAAGCTAACCAAGTGATTTCATAAGTGAAACCCTATTTTATTAAAAAGTCTTTTTTCAACAGCTGAAGGTGGTACTTACCTCCAGACCAATCCGTAGCCACAAAGGGTTGTAGGACAGCAGCCAGTTCAGGACCTTCTGCCGCTCTCCTGAAACGCATGGAAAAGCAGTGAACAAAATTTCAGAGAGGAATCGGTGGGGGTGAAAGGACAATCACATATGTGAAATAAGTTAATTTAAATAAAGTACTTCCACTCAAACATATATGACATTTAAATATGGGAGATTGTAGCGGCAAAGCCAAATCATGTATAGATTTAACTCTGAAACACAAAATCTGTGTTTTTAAAGAAATAATCATAGAGGTTCTATAATTTTCTTACCCACATCTTTCCAGAGGTGCCTGTCTTTTCGGACAGCTAGCCGCCGGGCTTCGATCTCGATCTCGAGCTTCTTAATGGCCTTCACCATCTTTTCAGAGGTAAACAGACGACAGGCTGCACGGCGCAGCCGGTTCAGCCTGCACCGCGCAGTGTAAGCTCGGAGCGACATTTCCTCCTTTGTAGGAGCTCTGGGAACGCTTGACTTGTGTTGACTCTCCACTCCCAAAAGGAGAGTAGCAGCATTTACTGGGTGAGACGAAGGAAAGAATGGTTCTGCTTAAACAAGATGTATGCATATCCTTAAATCCAGCAATGAATGCAAGTTAAGGTGCCCCTTTCACACTTGCCCTCCTCTTTTCCATCTCAAAATAACCATGTTGCCATTCACTGGGTACCTTCGGCCAACCTGTCACTGCAACCTGTTGGCTCTACCTGTAGAAGGTATCCCAAGTCTAGTCACTTCTCACAACCACCACCACTACCACACAACTGGAACATTATCTTCTCGAACCCAGACCAGTGAAAGAGCCTCCTAACTGGTACCTCTGCCTCCATTCTCTTTATAAATTAAAAGCATAAGCTCCTAAGGAATGTAACTTTTATGGGACATTAGTAAAGTTTACTTTCATTCTCTTTCAGGAGAAAACCCAAGTGTTTGCACATTTCGTCTTGCTCTGAGTCTTCTCTCTTCAGGATAAACACTGAGCTGTTTAAAATTCCCCATAGCAGCTGGGTTCAGAGTGCTCGTAACACTATCACCTGTCTACAAATGTCTAAAACTCAGGCACTAGATAGCAGAGGAAAAAGAAGAAAGTGGGGACACTGTGCCCAAGTGACGAGCCACACCAGCCTGTTCAAGTTCTCCCCCAGGACATTCGCTTTATTAAAGCAGATGAAGCTGAAACGGACTGCTCAGCAGCCGTGCGTTTCACTGTAACTCAGACCAGATCCACATTAAAATAATTCATCTGGAAACCTCATGGGCTGACGTGTAAGAGTGAAAAGTGAGAAGGAACATAAAATTCTGCACGCTCAGCCCAGAATTCCCTAAAAATTCTCACCGACATAATCTTCGGCACTTATGTCGATAAATTAGTGAACCATGCCATTGACTGTAATTAAATATGTATAATTAAAACAGGAAAAGTTCAAGCTAAACCCTACCTGTCAAAACAAGGGTGCTATTTAACTGAGGGTGAACGTGGGGCTTACCTTCCGAGATGTTTGTCTTCACAGTGAGGTCATCCGGGGTCAGAATGAAGTTGAGCCACCACGTGAAGCCCTGCTGCTGCTTTTCCTTCCAGCGCTCGTCATAGAACACATTTTTTGCAGCAAACGGCATCGGGTGTCTAGGGATGCCTAAGAACACAGGTAGGTTAGTACATGAGACCTTTTCCATTAAAATGTCATACAATATATAGCCAAAGAGCATTTTTACTAGCAAGGCGCCTGAGAACACAGAATCCCATTTCCTTTCCAGCGCTTGCTGGGAATAGTGGGAAGCACCGTGGGGCATGAAATGCAGTCTCAGTAGAAAGGGAGGCTGAGGCAGCAGCTCCTGCTTATTTACAAACCCCGATTCCCCGTGAGAAAACACCCTGTTATTTGAATACACACTGTAACAGTTCTTCAGGGCTTCTCTGTTCATCAAACATTTCGTTTCCATTTGAACCACAATCCCTGAGTCACTCACCATCAGTTTTCAAAGACTGTGAAGACAAGAGACACTTGCCTGTTTTCAATCGTTTTATGAAGGTCAAACTAGACTGGGCCACAGGAACAATGCGTGGTGTCCTTTTGTTTGTTTTAGAATTAGGAGTTTTGAATGCTAAAGAATCTAAAATAAATTATAAAGCAAATAATAGCATTAAAAAAATGAAATAAAATCCCTGAATGAACTGTTTTAAATTTGGGTTCTTTCTCCACAATCATGTCCATGTAGCAAACAGTGGACGAATACTAAGTGCCAGGCACCAGCTATGACTCAGTGGGCCCATCACACCTACAGAGGAAGAGACTCCCAGTATTTTAGGAAACAGAAGAAAGGAGTCAAGGCCAGAGATGTGAGGCTAAAAGGAAGTTACCAGAGTGGCCAACTTAGCTATGATGAGAGCTCAGTTAAAACAGAAGCAGTGGAGACAAATTAGAGTGAACAGCACCACCAAGGAGCCTTCATAAGCAGCGAGGCGAGGGAGGCCTTAGAGGTCTCAGGAGGGAAGGTGGAGGCAGTCTGTAGCCAGGTGATAAAGTCGACAACCAGGAAAACGGAGCTGAGCTGAAAAGGGTTAAGGGCTTACTTGAGGTTAGAGGTCATGAATTTACTTATTATTTATTATTTATTTTTTAATCCTCACCTGAAGATGTGTGTATTGATTTTAGAGAGAAAGGAAGGGAGAGGCAGAGGGCAGGAGAGAGAGAGAGAAAGAGAAAGATCGACGTGAGAGGGAAACATCCATCAGTTGCCTCCCGTACACACCCCAACCGGAAATCGCACTCACAGCCTAGGTGTGTGCCCTGACGACGTGGGACCCTGCACCTTCTGGTGTACAGGACAATGACCCAACCCACCGAGTCACGGGCCACGGCAGAGGTCACGAATATAAAGACCAAGAGCAAGGTTCAGGCCTGGAGCAGGCAGTGCTGGGCTGGCCCGGCATTTTCTAGATAGCACGAGGGAGAGAGGTGAAGGAAGTGTGGGTAATGAATTACGGAACTCAAGCTGAGTAAGAAAGAGTGTGGAGAGCGCCGGGTGTGTGGGCGGTGGCCGTGGCGGGGGATTCAAGGCCTGCAGGTAGCAGGAGAGTGGAGCAGTGCTGGAGTTGGGTCTCTAGAGAAAATGCTGATGTAGGAGAGATGGTGATTAGAGATGGGGACGCCTTCAGGAGAGCATGGCCCAAACCTCCACATCGGTCCCACCTTCCGCTAAGCAGATGCGTAGCTGAAAAGCGTACGTTAATTCAGGCTTATTAACAGCCCATTTACGAGACCGAAAGAAACAGTAAATATGCCCTTGATCGGTGAACTTTCTCTAAAGTTCTTACGGACAACTCACCAGTCTTCTTCCTCAGGTTTGGTCTCCCTCTGCTGCTAACACGCTGTGAGACGGGTGTTGCCAGCACTTTTGTTTTCTTAGTAGTCGATGTTTTAGACTCCACAGGAGAAAAATGGATTCTTTTGGTTTCTCGTTCTGTGCGTCCTGTGACTGTCACCACATCTGCGCCTTCCCCGTTTCCTTCACTCTTTCTTTTACGAGCAACGAAAGCTGTCTCTGAGGAAGGAGCTATTTTTTTGCAACCCTCAGAGTTACTTACTACTGGATCTATAACTGGAAGGTCAGAGTGCAAAGCATCTCTCTCTCCTAGGCCATGTGCTGTACACTCATCTTCACCTGCTACACTGCGGAGGCACCTTCTAGCCTTCGGTTTGCTGGTCTCAGCTTTGTCGTCTCTGTGAGCAGTGGGCCTCAACTTGGTAACAGTGGCAGAAAGGATTGGGCGTCTTTTAAGTTGTGCATTGTGGCCATGTTCAGAAATATCCTGAACTGCAGAAAATTTAGGCTGATTTTGTTTTGTGAAACTGTAACAATTTGGTTTCATTTCTAAAGCTCTGGATTCTTCAAAAATAGCTTCGGGAGAGTTCGAACCCCGACGTTCAGGAATGTAAGGTAAAACTTCATTTTTTCTCTGCCCTTGAGGAGACTGTGAGGCCTGAGAATTTTCTTTTGATAACGGTGATAACTTACATGTTTGTTGAGATATAGTTATATGTGGCATATTATCTTTTACAAACTGATTAGGGGATACAAATGGATTCACTGACCCCAATTCTAGCTCCTGATTTAGTCCATAATTATCCTTAATGAAGGAATCTGGACTTAAAATTGTCTGATAAGTTGCATGTGCAGTTTTTGATTCCAAATGCATAGGCCTTGAATGATCTTTCAGAAATGTCCCTGACGAAATACATGTCCCTGGTTCTAGCTCATTATTAGCTGTGTGGCTATTTTTTACAAAGGCATCTGGACTGAGAAAATCCCCCTGGCTTTGTGTAATGTTCAAAGTTGAAGAACAGTTTGGGGTAAGAGTAAGTTTACTGTCCTCTTCAATTTGGCCATTAGTTATGGAGTCAAAGGATGTTTCCGTTACGACTTTCCCATTAAAGTCATTGGGAATGTGGGCACCTTCTAATGTCCACAGTCCCCTGTTCCCAGGTGCGTGAAGAGATGTGTAGGTGGTGGACCGACGCACACAAAGCGGCAAGCAGGTGTCCCCACGGCTCTCTTTGAAAGTGGGACTGATTGGTGAAATAGGTATTTTATTCTCTTCGAGGATTAAAGAATTGTTTTCTGTTGGGGGACAGCCTTCAGTCCCACCAAAATTTTCACAAGCTTGTAGTGGGCTCCTAACTCGGTCAACTTTTTGGGGAACGCTAAACGTTTTGTTAACATTCTGAATATCTGAAATCCTCTTCTTATGACTTGAAGAGGCAGAAACTTTCTTCTTTTTAATAGTATCCCAAAGACTCCTCTGCAAAAATAAGCAAAACATACAAATTAGGTGGATGGCTGTTGAATATCACCTTTAATAAGAAATCTTATGTGTTACTTCAACAAGGGTGTTATCCAAACAATTTCTACAAATTATCATTTCCTTAGAATAAGTCACAGATGATTAAAACAAATTACCTTTTTCTTTTTCGGCTCTTCTGCATTTCCTAGTAATATAACTTCGTGTTTCAGAATATCATTGACAAGAAATGTCACAATCTCTCTTACTCGGCCTTCTTTTAATGGTGTCCAGTTAACAGAAATAACAATTCTTTCCTTAGGCTATAATCAAAAGAACATTTTTAAAATTACGGTAACAGCAGACGATGCACGATAACAAAAGCATACTATATACAGCTCGGACTACAGGGCAAGGTTAACAACTGCTAGTTGCCAACACTCCACACCATAGCAACATTTAAGGCAGATGTACTTTCCCATCTCGTTTTATTACAAGGAAAGGAGCTACTAGTAACAACGAGGTTCACAACAGAATAAAACTGCAATAAACTCTTAATTGTAAATAAAGCAATGGAGTAGAAACCGTCTCCAAATCATTTTCAATTATTGGTGGTTTTTAAAATTGTAATCACAGCCTGGCAGGGCGTGGCTCAGCTGCTGAGCATCGACCTAGGATCCAGGCCATCAGGGTTCCATTCCAGGTCAGGGCACATGCCCGGGTTGCAGACTCGATCAATGACTCTCTCATCATTGATCTTTCTTTCTTTCTTTCCTTTCTTTCTTTCCTTTCTTCCTCCCTCCCTCCCTCCCTCCTTCTCTTTCTCTCTCTCTAGAATTACTGCAACAGTTGTTCTCTCTCCCCACCAAGTTCACTATCAACACTGGTTGCCCTGGGTTCTCAGCACAGCAGCCAGAGTAATGCTTTAACATAAAAGTCAGATCCTGCCATCCTCGTGTTCAAATCCCTCCCATGGTTCCCCATCTCACCAGTGGTCTACATAACCCTACATGATCTGGTCACTTCTTACTATATTCCAGCCCCAAGCACTCTAGCTTCCTTGAATTCAAGCATACCAGGGCTGCTGCTATCTTAGGGCATTTGCTCTGGCTTTCTTCTTCCTGAATACTTCCCCAGGTACCATATGCCTAACTCCCTCGTCAACTTCAAGTCTTTTGCTCAAATGTTATCCTCTCATGACCACCTTATTTTAAATTGTAATCTGTGGCCTCCACCCCACACCGACCCCAGCACTCTCTATCCCCNCCCTTTCTTTAAAACATCTATACCACTTCTGGTTCAAATGCAGAATTATGAAGACTTCTGGCGAATGGGCTGAACTCCTTCCCCCCAGAAGCCTCCGCAGCCACATCAGGGCGAGCCGGCGGCTGCCCACCCAAGGGTCTCCTAGGACCCCCGCGGTCCGCAGGCGCCTGGCGGGCGGCACCGGCATCGCGCCACTTCACAGGCGAGGCGAGGTCATCAGGGGCCGGGAGGCGGCGAGTTACTTTGCTCGGCGCATTTCGGTCCAAGGGTTAGTGACCAGAACCCAGGCGGTCCCTCCGACGCCGCCGGAGCTCCGGCTGCGACACCGACACCCCAACTCCCTGAAACCCCAACAGAACAGGACAAGCTCTGGGGCTGGTTTTCCAGGGCAAAATAAAAATAAAAATACAGCTCCGTTTTAAAGCGGAAACTGTCAAACATCAGAAACAGCTGTTTTTAAAAAAAAACAAAAAACCAGTGAGCTCCTACTCTACAAAGCAGTACGTTCTAAAACAAAAACAAACAAAAAAGATTTAATTGGCTGCGGCCGGGCTGCCGAGGATGCT